GTAGTAGTAGTAGTAGTAGTAGTAGTAGCACTAGTACCACTAGCAGTAGTAGCAATAAAGTGCTTGTTGTCTGGTTGTTTTGGGGGGGGGTCAAAAAACAACGACGGGGTTGCAGAATTTGTTTGTACCCCCTTGTAGAGAAAAAGAAAGAAGATGTGGTGTAACGGGGTTGCAGTTTTTGTGCTGGTGCTGGTGCTGGTGCTGTTGTTGCTGCTGCTGCTGTTGTTGGTGTTGTTGTTGTTGTTGTTTTTGTGTGGTTTCCTTGAAATGTGACCAGTTGTTCTCGTTGCTCCTTGTTGCGGTCCTGCGTGTACGAAAGCGTCGCTTCAACGACTTTCGGAACGTACGAAGTGTCAAAACCAGGATCTGTGAGGAACCCAACTAGAATACGGAATTGAGCAGCGTCAAACACCTCCCACGAACAGTTTAAGCAATCTTGTAAACTCCAACTTGCCCGCGGAAACCAAAACTGCAGTCGTGGAAACTTGCGGAAGCCACCGCGTAAGTATATGGTAAAATTATGTAAAATTCACCATCGTTGAAGCTTTGCGGAAGTGCACATGTTATCTTCTTGACAATAACAAATGCCTCTATATATACTTTAAGGATATTTGTCCAACCTATGAACACTTTTGAGAAATACGTCGCGGAAGCGCCGCGGAAGAGGATTTCAACCAAAAATTGCCCGCAGAAGCCAAAACACAGGTTGAGGAAGCTCCGCGCAAGCATTGGCGGAAGCAAGCCATGAATATAACAGATCATAGACCGGTTTTTGACACCGCTCAATTGTAGACTCTTGATTGATCAAGAAAAATCGTTCTGATTTGGATTGACAAGCCTCTTTATGTGGCGGGGTATTAATCCACAGTCTACATGATGTGTTTTCACATGGTTTCGCTCCAATCCAACTGAAGGTGTCTACTTCCAACCCCAACCAAAAACAGAGGAACTTTGGAGCCACACACACACACACAAACGCAGGAAGCCTTACTGCAGCTCTGGATGGAGGAGAACCGCGTCAGGCCGGGTGATTTGGTGCAGTTCCCCGATGCTCAGCAGACCTTGGGAGAGATTGGCTTGGCGAGAGCGGAGTGTCTTTGGAAAGCTCCGGAACGCTGCAAGATCCTGGTGCTGGACATGTAAGCTCCCCGGATTTGGTAGGGGTTAGACATCGTCGTTACTCCGGGCGGGATATAGTTTGTTGGTGGGAGTGCACTATAGTGCACTCATATGCACTTTGTCAGAGAATGGTTTCCTGTAAACTGCATCCTCCGGCTTGGGTCAGTGGTGGCTTGGGCCGGTTCTAAGTTCAAGGAGGGGAAGAATAGTATTGCCCAGCAGCGCAGTCTGTGTGTTTTGGTAGAAGAAGTATGGAATCCAGTCCACCATTTTGAGGAACAAGCCGATGGTGGCCGGTATTCCGAAGACCTTTACCCGGTTACGTATTTGTTTGTCCTCAACTCGCGGCACAAAGCGCTCTACTCGTGCGAAAACTGAGGATGGCGAGAGGCAGTTGGTGGGCGAGGCCATCCAGCTGCTGGTGACTTGGGGCACTGGAGCTGTGAGGGTTGGACGTGGTTAGCCTCCCTTAGGCAGGAGGGTGTTCTGATGGGTTTGGATTGAAATAGAATGAAATACATTTATGACACCGTGAAGTCTTGGGTGTGCCGCAAGCACCCGTAACCGGCGACTGTAAACAGTTATCACATTTATCACATCATCTATTGTTGGACAGGCCTGGAAAATCGGATATACCCCAATGATGTTCATTTCCAATTCTCAGGAACTGGTTCGGTGCAGTCTATGTCAGGTGGTTCGGTGCTGTTTGAGGCACACCAGATATGTGTTTTTGACGTCCCAAGTCAACACCGCGATGAGGTGGGACATCGGCTGGGGAAGATGGGGGCGAGGTTGCGACCCCCAAAATCGAAGTGGAAAACGGCATGTTATGTTCAAGGAAAGGAGTCTTCCAAGGGGCCGTGTTTCACTTCCATGTTTGTTTCCATGCAGACGAACGCATTGTTTTGCCATTGCAGCCCTGAATGATGCTATTATTGGGACTATTTCATGAGGTACGGTTTGCTGATCTAACGTGTCACTGATCTGCGGATCTGATTCTTTTTATTCCCATATTTGGCACCTGAAACCGGTGAGTGAGTCCTTCCATCCTTTTCCATGAGCCGTTATCGCCTCTTTTCATCTTCGTTGTTGGACAGAAACCGTTGGACCTTTGCACCTTTGTGTCCTTCAAAACCATTTAACACCCATTGGAATAAGCACCTTCACTTCACCTTCACTGACCCACTGACCGGACCGACCTGTTAGGACTATGGCCAGTGGCAAGTTCGAGTCATAGGCGTGGCGGGGTGGTACCATACCCAGACACTCCATGTATAACATGCATTGGGTTTGTCCCACCTGTAACAGTCCACAGTGATCGCGTGTTGTATCACTATTTGAGAGAAAGGCAACCCAACCATCATCCATGGTTACTTTTGCTGGTGAGACATTTGGATATAGCCAAATATGCCTACATTGACTCCCTAACACCCCGACTGATCGACAAATATGGCAGTACTGTATAATGCCCCGCTGAAAACTAACAGCATGGGCCCTGAAAACCACTGGTTTGTAGAGGAAAACCGTCTTTTCTCGGGTGCCATCCAACCATCATCATCCACTGTTGGGAATAGGATATACCCAGAGATAGATAGATGTCAAATCCCAGACTGGCTCAGGAACATCACAGCCGCATTTTGAGGCCCACAGCTTGGTCTTCTAAGTTAAGATGTTCCACACTCCGAATTCGAAACCGAGCGTTCTTCCAGGGTTTGGTGCGTTCTTCCAGGCACCGTGTCTAAGAAACCAGACACGTCTCCTGCTGTTGTTCGAAGTCTTCGAGTGCTGGACCCTTTGCTTCCGACCATCTCTTCACAGATGGAAGTGGACAGCCCCAGGCACTTGGAACATGGGTCTTTCGCCCGTGCCACGTCACCCTGCACGTCACCGAAGAAAAAGCCCGCGCGCCGCAACGACCGGACCAACGCGGTGTCCAGGCGGTGTCCGTGCGGACGTGCGGACGCCACGCCGCGGAGCTTTGTTCGGTTTCCGGCGTTCAGGCCAAGCGCGGCCGCAAGGGCTCGGCGGCGAGGCGGAGATGGACCACAGCGAGAGTGGCGACGTGAGACGTGTGACACGGCTGCCGCTGGCGGATGGCTTGACTCGTCGACCGGTGTGGGTGGAGTCGATGGTTTGGGTTTCACCGGCCCTTGTGATTCATGTGTTATGTCTGTTAATTAGATGTTGTTTTTTCCTATGGAACTTGTGTGCTTCAAACAAGTCATGGATAGGAACCCTTGGAGCAACATGTAGATGAAAGGAGCCTTCCGGTGGCCATCCACTTCTGCCAGTCTCTCAGTCTTGGGTGGAGCTACTGAACCTGCACGACTGGGTGTTGGTGGTTGTACGATACGCTTGTTTTGAGACTGACACCAACCCGCGAACTCAGCAATGTTGGTGTGTTCATCCCATTCAACCTGGCTTTGCTTAAGGTGATTGTTTATTGATTCATCCCCTTAACCTGGTTTTCCCAGCTCCTGGGAGCCGGAAATCCAATCCTTCAAGCAAACGTTTGAGACTTGGAGACCTGATGATTTGACTGGCCGTCTCCGAGCTCTTTGACAAAGGCTTGTACTAGACCTGCCCAAGCTTGGTCAGACCATCCCAGACCATCCATGTGTGGAATGTCCTTTTTTTAGATACATTCGGGGTGATGTTCATGGGGTAAAATGCATGTAACTGTTCCATACATGGATGGTCAGACCATGTCAGATCATGACATCATTCCTTTGACCCAGCATGACAGTCATTTCACCCCCCACAACCGGAGTGGACTGAGCCGGCAGCCGTGAGGTCCAGGAGCTGGACCTAACGCTCCTCTCCCTGCGGCGGCTTCGTCCACATCAATGGTGTTGGGGGAGGTACTTCCTCGTGAGGATGGTTCTGAAATCCAAGATCAGTTCCTCCGGTGATTGGCTTACACCATGGGGCCCCCCTACATACATAGGATACTTACAAGTAGTCTAACTAGGGGGGCCCCTTAGTGTAAGTAGGTGTTTTTCTCCAAACTCTTGCAGGACGGACCTTTTTTTTCCTTTTTAACTTCTTTCTCGCGACAGAAGTTCTCGAGGGGTCCGGGAACCGCGCAAGGTCCAGCCACAGCGGGTTCGATGCACTTGGTAGTTTGCAAGACATTGCAAAGACACCAGGACCATCCGAACATCTGGGTGTGGCTGGACTACCCAGGCCCAGGCCCCTGAGGATGTTTGTGTCTGTTCTTTTTCTTGGGAGCTCCAGTCGTGGAAGCTCTGGCTCGGCTCCAGTCGCAGTGCGACTCAAGCCTCGGGGAACCGACCGAGGCTTTCAGAGGAGCAACGCGACAGCTGGAGATTGATCATGGAGCTCCAGCCACCATTGTTGGAGCCGAGGACCCCCCACCGCGTACCGGAACTGGGTCGCACGGAGCTCCAGAAGCCCAGTCCCATCCGGAGGAGTCCCAACTATTTTTGGTTAATGGTTTGTGAGAGTCTGGCTTGAGGTTGAGACTCGAGCTTGAGGTTGATGCAGTTCCTGTGTTTGGCTACACAAACCCTCCCAATTTTTCGGGTGTGCTTCAGAGCTTTCAAGCAGGTGGAAGCTTGCAGACGAGACTCACAATTTACACCGAATCTTTCACACCTGAAGTGAGACCGTTGTGAAATAAGGCCGTAGCATGGTACTCGTATGATGGATGTGGTTCAAAAGCCAAGAACTATAGGTCCACTTGATGTCCACGGGTTTTAATAGATCAATGATGCGTGTTTAGAAACATGAGACCAGCATAGGCCCCAAACAGTTTCAAAGCGATTCGTTTGGACCAATGTTAGTCAAACACAATTTCTTGGTACCCCCTACCTTTCCCCCCAAGAGCAAACTGCTTCATCAATGATTTTCGTCGGCATCGACATCGTTCGGCCACACTCCTCTCCAGCTGTTGACCATATTCATTAAAAAAATTGACAATGTCCAATGCGTCTCAGGGGCACATTATCGGCGGGCGCCCCATCTATCAACAGTATGAGACGGGCCCCATACGCGAACCCGCTTCTTTCGCGGGCGTCCGATTGGACTTCACTCAGCATTCTAAACACTCGGCCACAGAGTTCAAGGTGCGGCCAGTCAGTGTGGTCAGGGCTGGTCAGCGCGGCCAGAGGACAACAGCAGGACAAGAGAAGGACAACAGCAGGACAAGAGAGGACAAGACCCGGCCACGCGGCCAGTCAGTGTGGCCAGCTCTTTTTTTCTAAGATGGAGCCCCAACAGTAAACCTTTTGGGGAAAAGTAATATTGGTGGGCTTGGATGGTACCTATGTTTGAGCCACTCTTTCTGGACTCGATCGCAGGATGAGCGCAGGGAACGAGGCCTGAGCTCCCATGTGGGTATCAGGGATGGAGAGGTGTGGGAGGGTACCAGCGGGGCTGAGACCCAATCACTGTATGTGGGCTTGTATCATAGAATAGTGAAGCCCCCAAAGACCCCCTGAAGAGGAACAGAGCGTAGACCAAATCCCCTTTGCCACTAAATAGAGTATACAAGCCCATGGGCAGGTGTGTGTGATAGTGAATGATTTTGCACTTTAGGTTTGATTTGTTCGGTTCAACCAAGCATCCATCATGATGAGATATATGACTCACACATGGGAATGAGCTACTATCCAAACCCATTGGCCAAAGAGAAACATCGTGTAAGATCGGTCTACAACCGTGCAGGTTCCGGGTTTTTATGCAGCCAGAACCATGTTTCTGCCGGTCTTTTGCGAACCAAATTGAGTTCTCAGTTCTTGGACCTCCGAAGGGAACTTGAACCTGAACGCAACATGATCAAACCTGTGTAAGCTCTAGGTTGGATCAAACCCGTGGAATTTCATAAGAATCTCTTAAATTCTTCCAAATCTCCAATATACAGTTGATAAAGAAGAGTGAGTCAGATGTTTGTCAGGAATCTCCCATGAAAACCTCCCTTGGCCACCCTGTCTGAGCACTTGGCCAGGCTCGCTGGCGAAGGCGCGCCCGTTTTCTGGCTGCCGGAACACGAGGAACCATCAGCCTGGATTGTTCATTTTTATTCAATTATTATTAATTATATCCTTCACTTCACTCTTACTTTCCCCACGTTGGCCCAGGCGGTGCGGCCCATTTCTCGAGCTTATAGAGCTGGTGTGGCCCATTGTTCGAGCGAAACGGATATGTCTACAACTTCTGAAGAGTCACCTCAACAGGGAGATGGATCTTCGAGTCGTCAGAAGAACGGAAAAAACAATTGTTTCCCACGACCGGGATTGGCATATACGTCAGGGTGGTTGATTTCAGGGGCCCAATGAGGTTTCTCATCGATTCGAGTCTCAAACAGATCGCGTCTGGGATCATGATCATTCACCCAACAGACTGAATGCCTGCCGTGTTTCTGGCGCAGGCTCTTCAGTGCAGCTGCTGGCATGGCTGCATCTAGCCAAGAGGACGAACGCATGAATCCAAAAATGATGGATTGCTTTAAAGGGGAGTGGCACAAACCAATGCCACTCCCACAGCCCCCGCCACCCCTCGACATCCTGGTTTCATGGAGTTCCGATGTCATCACTGGCATGGATTTCGACGGAAAGACGGATTTGTGGGAGCAGCTCCCTGCAGGATGCTGGGCTGCCACTGGAGCAGAGCTTCATTGCCACGGTGTACCAGCTGATCTTGGAGCATCAACGGATCCATGGTGAACAGGCCATGGTTTCTGGGATGCTGCCAGCTTGCTCGTTGAGTCCACACGGGCCAGAGGAAGTTTTGAGGCTCATTGGGAGCACATTCACCAAGAGATTCAATCAGTGCTTGGCATTCAGTGGTGGACGATTCAGTGGACACCCGGGTGGTTTGAAGTTTGAAAACTGTTTCGGGGCACCAGAAGGGCAGCCAACCTTAGACTACGAACATGAGGGCGGCCTGACAGGTGTCTGACAGGTTGATTTTCTGGCGGCCTAAGAGGGTTCTCCATCCACGAGCGTCAGTAGCAGGAACACGAGTGCAGGTTCCATCAACACCCTAGAGCTCCAGGTGCCTCCTCAGAAGGTATTTGGACCCTCCAAACCCACCCTAAACACCTTCTGAGAAGGTATCTGGAGCCCTAGGGAGAATGTGTACGTGTCACAGATGAGTTTTCCCTTTCACAGATGGCGTCAGGATGGGATGGCCAGTGACGGGACTTGGGCCCGTTCGGTGCCCTTTCTATTCATGTAGACATTTGATGATATGTCAATTCCCACATTCGGATTGTAAAACCTCGGTAATTGATGAATCAAGAGTCTACATTAACTTGCAGTACACCTCGGTGGCCGGACACCTCCTGGTGTCGTGTTTTCTTCGACCCTCCGTGTGAGCTCGGCTCCAAACGGACGACGTCACGAGCAGCTGGCATCAGCTGGCCGTAGCTGGAGTCTGTTGTCCTCCATCTTCGCCGCTGAGCGGAAGAAAACGCGGAATTCATTGGACATTTTTGGACCCTGACACTGATGCTCTACCATGCTATGCAACCTGGTCCATATCCTGGCAGCCTTGTGCTGAGAGGCGTTTCTGCTGCTGGACATCTTGGGCTGCCGCAGCGCCCTTGAACTGGATGATCCTTTGCCCAAGTTCACCCGTCTCATGCAGGCTCGCTCTTCGGGTTTTCCGCCGCGGCCATTTTGGCCTTTGTTCTGCAGGCACACATGCGCACGCAACTGCATGCCTAAGAAAATTATCATGGAATCGAATCCCTAGGATTCCTGGCCCACCATTGATTTAAGGATTTGAATCCTGAACAAGTAGTGTTGTTCCATAGCGTTCCTAATTTTATATAGATTTTTTGAGACTGCAATCAGGCCAACCATTCCTGCTGAATGCTGAATGCCGGAGGGCCAGTCCAATGAGCTGTATGATTGAAAAAGGGAACGATGCTCCGTGCGAACCTGCCCTCAACTTTGAGGTTGTCAGATCAAAGTGAGAATGTTGTGGGAAGGGGGGCTTATGCGCATATCATCAGTTGATCTCAAGACCTCCCCGACCAAATCAGATCGGTTTTCGCCGAAAACCGGCGCCCGTGCGGGTTTTCAGCCGCTTAGCGGCCCTCCAGGTCTTGAGCAGCCACGGCCTCAGTGCTATGAGACTGGGGGGTGTTGGAACAGGAAGTGGGATCCCTGACTCAAAGATGCTCAAAAAATCACCCATAGTCACAGACACACAACTCACACCCAAGGACCTGAACCTATGGAGGGGTCTGGGGTTTCTCACCAATCCCTGGTTTTCAGGGACTGGTCGGGCTGTGACCGGAGCGTTTGGGCAGGGTGCATGTTTACCCTCCTGCAAATGCCCAAAGATTTCCTTTGGCGGTGTGCGATGCTTTTGTTGCTGAGGATCAGTACAATGGCTCCGGATTTGTGTTGAATCCCAATTCTCCACATTCCCTCTGACTTGCAGTAGGGTCCGCTCATTTCGGGGCGGGCCTTTTGTTTGAATCTGACTTGAAAATTACAAGGGCAACTGTACAGATATCTCACACAGTCGTGGGGTTGTTGCTGAATCTGCATGGAGGGTGGCACGCACGTGATTTTTGGATTTATGTGCACCCTTACGCAACCACTGGCTTGATTAATTACTTAAATTTACAGACCGGCTTTAGGGATAAGATCATGTTTCCCTCTTGAAGGTCCTTTTGGGATCTATTTGGGATGATGTTCTTCTTGCCCAGCAGAGACTAAGACAAGAAGCTTGCAGGGCTTGCAGGCTGATGTTGCTTCTTTCGTTTGAATCCCAGCACCGGGATTCAGTGTCGGATCTCCATGGATCTCGGGAGAAACGCGGACGGACAAGGTTGCAAGAAGCTCACAGTACGCCGCTCAGCTGCAGAAAAGGGTGACTGAACTGAAGACGTGCGCCTGACAGCAATCGAGTTCACGCGACTGACAGCGATCGAGTTTCAGCGTTTCATGTCGTCGTCTCAGACCTAGTTCCGCACCTGGTCGAAGGAATTCACCATTCATCAGATTTGTCAAACCAGACCTGGAGTTGGCTCCCGGCCTTACTACTAGGATTACTAGGTTACTAGGAACAAGAACGCTACATGGACCTGAAGCTGGCTGGTGGGAACATGAGACCTCCAGATGTTCCAAGCAGAAACAGGAGAGAACTCTCCCCAGTTGTGATGTTGAACTGAGGTACTAGTACTCTCCTTCAAACAAACAGCTTCAACCTAATAGGTCCGTGGAGGAGAATTACTTGACCCTCGGAGTCAGAGGTGTTGGGGCATGCTCAGATGCTTAGATGCTGTTTTTCAGCAAATGTATGCTATTTTGATTGTGATGTGCCACAACAAGTGAGCTCCACAAGTGAGCTCCGCGATAATACTACTCCAAGTGCCAGCATCATCCAACGTGTTCTTTTTACAGCCAGACCCGAGACGACCGACGCAGACCAACACGAGCGCTCCAGGCATGTGTGGCCCTGAAGTGCCGGAAGACTTCGACCTCCTGGTCAACGTGGATGTGGAGCTGCTTGGTGTTTGTGCAGAGAAAGGTGTACGTATTATTTTATAATCCATTTTGCGGGCTACAGTATTTCCTTATAGGTGTAAAGCAGGTGTGCTTAGATAGGTGTGCCGCGCGGGCGTGTCCGGCTAATTCGCTGCTATTTACAGTACATTAATGCCCCTCGAAATCCTCGACATGCATTTCGACTGCGCAGGCTCGCTGAATCTGGGTGTTTGCTGCGAGTGGTGCTTGTCGCGACTGCGGGTGCTTGTCGCGACTGCGCTCTCGTTGTGGTGCCGTGCGCATTTTCACACATGGTGGTGACTTTTCGTGGCAGGCGCAAGGGAAACCTTGTGTTTTGGTGCTCCAAAGTCGACTTTTCGTGACAGGTGCAAGGGATCGGAGCGGCTTTACTTCGAAATGCAGTTTTCGTGGCAGGCGCAGCACTTTGCACATGGTGGTGATCGTCGAGGAGCTGAGATTTTCATGACAGGTGCAGTGAAGCGTGACTTTTGGACATGTGGCTCGTTTGCAGATTCCGTGGCAGGCACAGCAACTCTGTGACCCTCAATGCGCAGATATCGTGACAGGCACAGCACTTTGTGAACCTCGAAGTGCAGATTTCGTGGCAGGCGCAGCGCTTTGTGAACCTCGAAGTGCAGATTTCGTGGCAGGCGCAGCACTTGGTGAACCTCGAAGCGCAGATTTCGTGGCAAGCACAGCACTTTGTGAAGCACTTTGTGCTCTCAGATGCTCGCTCTCTCACTCTCTCACTCTCACTCTCACTCACTCACACACGCTCACACTCACACTCACTCTTCAGTCACACTCACATTCACACTCACACTTACTCTCACTATCATCCACACTCACTCTCGCTCACTCAGACACTCACTCACCGTCACCACGATCCCCACCTTCATCACCACCACCACCCATCTGGACCCCAATGCGTCTTGATCTCTAGACTTTCTGCTTATAGACCTCACACACGCTGTTTGGGGTCTCTTACCGGGATAATTGTTTTTTTGTTTTGTGTTTTGGTGTAAGTGTATTTAGGTGTTTTTTTGTCTAAGATTCGATATATAAGTTGTGATTTTTTTTTTCGGTGACACAAAACCCAGGCCGGGCCGTCGGGTGAAGCTGGAACTGAGGCGGGTCGCATCGGGAGACGGGTCGTTTTCACGGGTCGTGAGACGGGGAGCCAATCAGGTCGGAGGTGGAAGGGAAGTCCCTACCCGCCCGGGATCCGCGGATCCAACTAGACAGGTTCAGTGCGACTGGACCCAACCCTGGTGACCGCATGTTGAACACATCACCCTCAATAGGAGAGTGGCAGTGGATATATAGGGAGGGAAGTGTAGCGGGAGTTCTGTGTGTTGGAAGTGTACTAGTAGAGCTTCATCATCAATTCCATTACCATGATCGTCGTTCACCTTCTCATCGGCGCATACTGTCACAATATACGTACTGAAGGTTTTAATATACATTCCAGGACCGCAGGTGAACAATCCTGAGTTGAGAATTAATTGGCCGCTTCAGGATCTGTGAAGCCAGTTGGATGAGATATGGATTGTGACTTTGTTTTTAGGGCAGATTTTCTGCTACCTTGATTGGAGTTCTGGGACAGAATCCGGAAGGAGATTCTAGTGCCCCATACACATTTGAATCCCAGAATTGGCTTAAGGATGTTTAAGGGACATTTGCAGACAAAACCCATAGTTGTGGGGGTGAACACTTTGAAGATTTCCCTTGAATTAACCAATCCATTGGTTTGTCTCCACGAGCTCGACGTGGCCTCAGACGTGGCCTCTACCACGAGCTTTACCAGTCGGCGGAAGCGGCGGATTTGGTCATTGCCATGAACGTTTCTTGGATGATACCTGAAAGACTTGCAAGAGTCAAAGGGATGCAATCCATTTCGAAAAGCACTAGGACTGTATAACCAATTTTGTTGCAGCTGGTTTGCTGAATGCATCAGGTTTGGCCACAACCGGTGATATTTGTTGAGATGGTGTTTCGCCCTTTTCTTTGGGATCCATCAGTTTGGGAGAGGCAAAGACATTTTATCGCAGTATTTACATGTTTCTTGCTCAAAGTTTCTCGGTTCAAACTAAGTGGAATCACCCAGTTTCCGTTACCTTTTACAAGATGTGAGAGATTGAATCTGTGAAAGATGCTGGAGAGGGGAAGCTACTTTAAACGATCCTATGACTTTCAATGCTGGAATTTTGTACCATCCCAGATGGCCCAAGTGAGTTTGACAAGATGCAACGTTTTACACGTGGTTTGGGACAACCATCACCAGTACACTCCTCCAAGCAAGCATTCGCCTCTGTCAGAGGGCTACAGGATTTGGACGATGTTGGAAGACTGTTTGACCATCTATATAACCAAGTGGGGGCTATGTTAGGATTGTGAAGCATCGGGAGAGGGTATTTTCTCATAGTACTAAAGCACGCAACATGGTAGCAGAAGCAGACTACTAGCAACAGTAGTAACAAGGGCATCCCAAATAGCTACGAACGTAGCAAGAAGCTAGCTGCCTGGTGGCAGCCCATTTGCACACATCGCCACGCCCTCGCCGCACCAAGGCCGGAGTTGGAGTAATCCAGCAGCTTGGCTTGTACAGGCTTGCAGAAGTATGGTGGATTGTGGTTCTGTGTGAGGTGCTCAGGACCTCTTACAGACTCATACAGGTATCACTTGTGCTGGAATCACTGAACTTTTTGAGTTTGCGCCTGAGCCAAGCAACTGGAAAACAAGCTAAGGGGGGGTGCATCTCAGTTCTCAGTGTTCATTCTTGTGAGTGGCACAATGAAGTCTTTGGGCTGAGGTATCAGGGCATGTGGGGACCCACCTTGGATCTCCTTGCGAGCAGGCCTAAAGGCTTGTTGGCCAGGCACTTAGACGAGGACCAGGAGAATTGGAGCGAGCAAGCGAGCAGTTGAACATAGTTGGACTCATGTTTGACGACTATGTGACTATGTTTGACCACTGGTATGACCATTTGTTTCTTTTCGGCTGTTGAAACGAGTTGAGATGTTCACAAGTAGGTCGGTGTCCCATGTTCCAGCTCTCCATCACTCACTTCCCTTCACTTCCCCTATCTCGTTCTTTCGCCCTTGTACTGAAACTCTCGTCCCTTTGGGCCCGAATGACCGGCGACGGCATCGATGACGGCGATGAGGCCATCACCTCCTACACTGCCAAAGAGCTCATTGATGAAGAGAAGATCTTGAGCGAGCGCGTGGCCTCCTTCCGCGTGAAGCCGGTGCGGGGAGTGGGCGCGCGAACGGTGGACCCAAGGGTGAAATGGATTGCTCCACACACTGCATCTGGCGACCCAGACGTCTGGGCTTGATGGGGATCATCCGAATTTTCAGAGAAGCTTCTTCTTCTACTTCATGGAATATATCTATATATATTTTTTAAAAGAAAATAATTTGTACACACATCTAGATGGTATACCAGAATAATTTCCAATTATTCCAGGGATTTCCAGGGTATATCCACACACCACTGATGGCACCGAATATCGAAAAACCATGGTGTTCGGCTTGCCAGGCCACGACCCATGGCTCTCCCACGACCCTGCAAACCGAGCGCACAGCGATGCGACTGGAGGGGCTGGAGGCTGCGCTCGACGGGTGATGACACGGTAGGAATGGCGGAGAATCATACCTACAGATCCCCACACGCCCTGATGTAGGTGCTCTTGAAGGGTCCGTACCGAACTTGAGGTACGCTGCCAGTGGTTCTCTAGCCCTATGAATCGGTGATTGGAGACCATTTTACGTAGGCTTGGGGCATCCAGTCGTCCCTTCAGGCTTGGGTACGTGGATCCCTATATATGTAGCCTTTGTGTCTTTCGTTCTTGAAACCGGAACAAGAACAGCCGGTTCTCCCAGAGGCGCCCGCGAAGTGACATCTCGATGAAGCAATGGGGATCCACGGAGTTGGTTGGTAGGCTTGGATGGATGTCTCCGATTTCGGGCATCGATCCTGAACTGCGATGATTCTCTGAGTTCTTTGAGGCCTAGACTCCTTCATCGTATGAATGTCAATGATAGGAAGACCAACGACGTGGCGTTTTACATGTAAGTTCCACCCGTGAGGACGTCGCAACATGTCGTAACCGTGCTGAAGAATGAGGTTGGGCAACGTGTTTTGGTGAAGGAAAGGTTCGTGAAGTTGCATACTTCTTGAAGTCATCCCCAGTGCTTGGTCGTGCTTGTCATCACGGGTTCCGCACATCAACCTCCACCTATGCACGATATCCAAATCCCCCATTTTGTTACACCCATTATAATATCTATAACCAGTCCCGGATTCGTTTTGGTTCCAGATTCCATTCTGTTTGGTGACAGTTAATAAACATATAATCCACATATAATGTCAACAATTGAGCTACAGAGCCTAGCTAGACTTGATTAGGCGTTGATCGTTTCGGTTGTTGAACTCGGCTCCACTGAAGTGGCTCTCCTCCAAACTCGTGTTTTCTTTTTGTGAGCGTGAGATGTTCAGATGGGAACGAGCAACATGTCGGGGGACCCAATGAAGAAGGAGTCTTGGGGAAGATTCGGGGCACCAACCAGGTCTTGATGCAGCCACATCCCTCCCTAGGGCCTAGGCCTCCCAAAGGTTCCCCCAAAGGAGGAAGAACCTGTCCCAAAAGGTGCCCATTCTCCAACATCAGGTGGAGCTTCGCCGCGGCGATGCCACTCAGTCTGCGTCTTTTGGGGTTAAATGTGCCATGTCCTTCGGCTGACGAAAGGAACACCCTGACATGCAGACTCTCTATTAATGAATATTAATGACATCATGTTAATAACAAAAAGGCTTATGAAGAGGTTTTACATGCCATGTCTGGAGGGGTGATCAAGAGTCTTCTCAAATGTGCTGTGATCGCAGAGGTTCTGAAGTGTGACATTATGTGGTTTTGCTTGAGTTGCACCAGTAGCAACCAGTTTTCTATTTTCAAAAGCTCCATATGGTCAAAAGGGGTAAACATACCCAAAGAGGGCTAGACCCCCAGTTCCTTACAGACGTTGTTGAGCAATGCAATGCGCCTATACGAGGCCTGTTGCTCGTCCGTTTGGTCAGGTCGGCCCTATTCATTCGATTTTTATTATACCAGCACCCGACTCTACAGGAGACCTGTTGGAGGCTTTTGTAGACTTAAAAGTCGCAAGTGGTGACCTGTGAAGTCGGGTCCTGGTCTATGACTCATTGGCCGAACTACACGGTCTCCCGGTGCCACGTCGGTCTCCCGGTGCCACGTCGGTCTGCGTCACACGCACGTAGCTTGTAGCCTTTGTAGCTTTGGTTCCCGGTCTTCTTTCAGAAAGGAGCAGAAAATATGGAAAACAACAGCCAAGGTGTTCATCTAAAGTGATCCTTTGGTGGCGACCTCCACCTTTCCCACCGTCGTGTTTGAGGTGCCACAGTGTCACAGTTTGTTTTAAAGCCTTCGTCCACCTGGCCATTTCAGGTACCCAAGACTCAAGACTTGAGACTCGTCACGCTGAGACTCGTCACTGTTGACGATGCCACTGTCGGTTCGCCACTGCAGCCGACAGGGGCCACGGTCGATGCGTCCTACGCGTTTTTCTGAGCGACCAAGATTCTTCAGACGGAGGAGGATGGGACCATCCAAGCAACCTGTGGAGACGCCTTGATCTACGCGCCTTGGCGCAATTGGCTTTCCGACATCACAGCGATGTCGGGATGCAGTTGATGAGCCCCAAGATCCGGACGAATTCAGAGTGCAGAGTTCTCAAGTAATTAGTGCAGCCGCTCATGTTTGTTTGCTGGTGGATTGAGTTGTTTGCACGACCTGCACAGAGATGTTGCACAACCTGCATCAGACTTTGCTGGTCTCGTCTGTCTCGTCGTTGCGAGAGTGTACCCAATGATCCCATGTTGAAGGACGGAACTGCCATGCACAGTTCGTGTGAGGTCCGGGCACACTCTCTCGACACACGCAGTTCGTTTCTACAGCCCCAAGCTTGCCAATGCCATGCCAACGCTTGCCAATGCATGCCAATGCAATGGAGCTCTGACGGGGGGCGTCTTCCCCGGGGATCTTCGTTTGAGCCACTCCCCTGGCCTTCCAAGACAAAGCAAGGATGAGCCTGGTTTTGTCGTCGGAAATACTTTATGAAAGAAATGGATGTTTGGTAAAACCATGTAAAACCCATCTCTTCCAACTTCAGTTCGTGACGGAACTTGAGGGTCCCAGCCAGTGACCCGAAGTGAGGCCAATCAGATCCTATCAGTGACCGGAAAAAAAAACGAAAACAACGGGTCTCAGTCTGGGTCATTAGTGAAGCCATGTAAAGCCCATCAAATCCATGGTGCTTCGAATCCTTGCCACCCGGGCTGCCGAGGACGAACCAGAAAAACAAACCCCCACGATCACGTCGACTCCCGTCGCTGAGGTGGGACCCAACCTGACACCTGGGCGACGCCGGAACATGGGCATGCTGGTGTTTCAGCTGGGTTTGCCGAGAACGCGAGGTGAAAACAACGAGAAAATGGCGTGTGTCGGCCCGGCACCAGGTGCCGCGAGCGTGACATAGTATGCGGTTTGGTCCGGGTGAAATTCGGTGGGGCAGGAGTCCAGGAGTCCAGGAGTCCGGCAAGAGTTGCAGGAAGTGTGGGTGAGGAGAGGACAGAGTAGGTTTGACTGTAGACATCTGTAGAAGTGGGCAGTGATTCACTCTCCCACTTCTATTTTGTGGAACCGGATGGAGGGACGCAGCATCAACCGCTACAAACTCCCAAGTGTGACAACATAATATCCGTCAGAACAGGAAACAAATATCTCAGAACGCGGATTCTGTATTGAATGCAATTTTGAAAGGACACTGAAGGTACAGCTCCTTAAAGTGCTGATTCACTCCCATTTGTTTTCTGTTGGAAGTTGGAAGCCATCGCTCTTAGGTTGGAGGCCGCCGCTAGTAGGTTGGAGGCCATCGCTGGCCATCGCTAGTAGGTTGGAGGCAATTGCTAGTAGGGTTCAATTAGACGTTACAAATGGGAGGTAGGGTTCCTCAAGGTTTGACCCACGTTCATTTCTCTTCTTAAACAGGTTTTGCAACTTTCAGAGAGGATGGACGGATGGACGGATGGTTGTTGTTAGACATGTTGCTCTACTGGCTGAAAAGAGAGCGAAAAGAGACGCGACAGTGCATCGCATTTAACAAATCAAATACGTAGTATAATGTTCCGAGTTTTAACCTCGTTAGTGTTTGGGAGCTTCACAAAGCTTGGTTCCGTACATTGGAAGGCAATCTTCATGTCCTTCAAACAAAGATGTGCCTCCTGAATCCTCCTGAAGCAACCTTTTTCTCCTCAGGAGTAGTGTTCTGTTCCACTTTGGGAAGAAGTGTTCGTCCAAGGCTTTTTCAGCTGTTCATCATTGACTTCGTCCATTTGTTCCTTTTGTGGGCATATGGGGCCTGGGTCAAAACCTGGAGTCCTCCACCATGTAGCGAAGCACCGACACCAGGGACCTCGTGCCCAAAACCGGTCTCCTGGTGCCGCACCCACAGCCAGACGACGACCCCCTGGGTTCCATAGACCAGTTTTACCCGGGCGATCGGGGCGTCTCTCCCTATTCAAAGGACCGAAGCGCAGCAGTCACGGGACTTCCTCACCTCATCCATGGCGCGCCCGCATGGCGCGCCGCATGGCTGTGCAGTCACACCGTCACAGCCGCTCACCCGCACCGATCTCCTCAGGTTCCAGACCGGACTACCAACACCGCCTCCTGAGACGGTGGAATTGGAGGCGGAAGACGAGCACCGGATTTCCATGTGGAAAGCCGAGTGTTCGATCACATCCGGTGTTGGATCGCATCCGGGTTTCTGAAACAGGGCGACGGTATCAGCACTCACAGAGAGAGAGAGAGAGAGAGAGAAAGAGAGATGGTTCCTTGGCGGAAGACGACTTTCCTTTGCAAACAGGGAGTGAACTTCCATGTTGGCCTGGTTCAGCCCCCAGAGACGACGAGGTTTTGGCAACGCGAGGTTCATGGCCAAGAGATTCTGCTTTGATCGGTGTTCGTCTCAATGGCAAGAATCAAGCTGAAGTTTGCCCACGCTATAGATCAAACATGATCGAAATAATTAATTGGAGGGTTGTAATATGTTCTAATGAAAAGACTCCCTTGGGTCAAAACATGCCAAAACGATTCAAGATGTTTGTTCGCTTCAGGATGAGCATCTCTGTCGCTCGCCCGAAACCAGGTGGTGAAGTCTCGTCCAACCCCGGAGGCGATCGTGGGGGAGAACAGATGGGCCATGGTCGTCCAGGTCTGCACAAGAAGGGTACTGTAGATGAGGACGCTGGGGGATCGGTTTCCTCTAGGGTCAGAACTGGTGGGAGAAGGTTAGAGAGGGTCAGCAGGACGTTCTCTACTAGCTGGAGGCTCTGACCTTGGGGCTGTGGTGTTTATTTGATGACATTGATTCATAGGTTGGTTGTCAAGACATGTCAAGACAATTCGGACCCGACATACATTGATTAGAGTACACAATTATTTACTGTGAATTGTATCACTAATGTGGGGGTACGCCTAGAGCATCCTAGAGCTACCTGCACAATAGACAGGATTTAGCTGCAGAGTCGCAATGACAAAATGCAAAAACATAGTCCATGAAAACTTCTTCAGAGAAGAGAGGGAAAGAACGTGTGAAACCTCGGAAAAAGAACACTATATATAGACTATATATAGTAGCTATAGTATTGATTCGGGCAACGCAAGAAGGTCCTGAACCTCCGGTTTCCTGGGGATCCTAGGATCAATTAGGACCCCAAAATGAAAGGAACTCAAGGACGTCTGGTCCATAGTTGCCAGTGTTATCAGGAGATTTGTTTCGGCCCTCAAGTGACAGTAATTTTTTCTTCACCCTCAAGTGACAGTGATTTGTTCTTTTATCGACCCAGGAAGTGGACAAATGTGGACCACCTTTCGCCATTTGGAGGCTTTGGGGTTACCCCACTCAAACCTGACAGGTGTCCAGTTCGCCTTTCTTTTTCCGAAACGGCTGGGGTCGGACGGTCAGTTCCTCATTGGAACGCGGTGAAAGCCCAGTGCGCTGAGCATCGGTCTCACCGTCCCAGATTAAGCAGCTGGAAGCGCCGATGGAGGAGTCGCCAGCCTGGCGGGTTTCGTAAGCCTAGCGGGTCCGAAACGATGCCGAAACGACACCGCTGGGCTTACCGTCATGTAGTGTTCTTGGCTTCAGAGGATGAATAGACTGAGAAGGGATGACATGGAGTTTAAGTGTGAAACTTATTGGTCAAGCCTCTTCAGAGAAAGAGTGAGAAAGAGTCGCATATGAACATGACTGATTATGTATATTATATGCTTATTTGCTACATGTTGCTTTTATTGAGTTGTAGGGATCAACAGATTGTTTTTGAGCTGGTTTTTGATGGTTTTTGTAGCTGGTGGGGCCCTTGGAAGTTGGGAATGTGGTAAGACCTGGATGTTCAAAGTGACCAGACCGGACGAGGTCACTGACTGAGCCTGTAAAAGGTCACTGGATGAGACAACAAAAGGTCAAGCACTGAAGGTCCTGTTAATAGCTTCCTTGTTTCACCACAATGTCTCTAATGTATCCCTAGGGCTCCAGATACCTTCTGAGAAGGTGTTTAGGGTGGGTTTGGAGGGTCCAAATACCTTCTGAGGAGGCACCTGGAGCCCTAGGGTATTCTAATGTCAGATGAGAGCCTTTTTTTCACTTACTTCGAGTGTGCATGAACTGACAGCCAGGTCTCCCAAAGCCAAGCCCATCATTTTGCGGCTTCTTGGTCATATCGGAAGCAGTGGCTGTGGTGGGTGCTACTGTTTTTGAAGATCACATAGTTCATTACAACAATGTTCCACCAAGTATTTCTTTCTCGACTTCTTTCGTTGTAATCATGGACTGACCTCGGAGGACTCCGGTGGCGTTCGCCTCCAGTCACCCCGGACGGTCCAAACGAAACGGCCACCCGGACGGAGACTCTACCGATGTCCCCGATGTCATGGACAGATGACATGACCACGTCTCAAAAGGACACGAAGCGTGTCATGGGCTGAAATACACCTTTTTGAAACTTAGTGATGGAGCATCCAATGTCGGGCCAACCTCCGGAGACTTTGCCAATATGGCAATCCGATGGCAGACTGGTCCCGATGTCCCACCTGGATCACAGGTCCTGAGAATCGATGCACGCTGCCCAGACACCAACCGGTGTTTTTCCTCCAACCCCTCCAGTCCGGGCTTTGGGTCCGATCCCTCCAGAGGATGAGTCGGGCGGCGCATCGGGTCCGGCATCGGATCCCCCATCGGGAGAACGTGACAGACTCAGGAGTGACATGACTGGACGGCGCCTACATACATCTTAAAAGTATTTAAACGTGTCTTCCATAGGGGATGGAAAAGGGTTCCTTGGGCGAGTCCTTTTTTCTACAAAGAAGGGGTGAACTATGATGAACTCCACTTGACGTGGGACCGTGGGACCGTGGGAGTAGAGGTTTCAGTCAGACCAGTCGTCACTGGGTTGGGTGAGATTGAGGCACCCAACAATAACCTGAAACAAAACTTTCAGTCCACTGAAAAGTGCAAAAGGAAAGCCTAGGGCCTAAGCATTCTTCATGGAACAATGGGATGGAGAAAGATAACGAGGTTCATTCCTTTTGCCCAACAACGCACACTTTTAAAAGATGCAACATGAACAAACTGGTTTTCACAAGGTCGGCCTTGGCGAACCTGGAGAATTGGGACCATCGCTTCGATCGAAAAGCCTGGCACAACGTCAAGGCCAGTGTGTGCTTCACCCCAAAGCCACGGCTGGGAGGGCTTTTTCGATAACGTGAGATTCGAGTCAACTTTACAGTCAGATTTGACAGTCAGATTTGTTTCATAGTTAGTTGATGTTAGTTCTTTCTTCTTTGGAAGAAGAGGGGGAAATCACCTTGCCGCATAACATGGAAGTGGTGTGAAAAACAAATCTTTGCAGAAGACTTTATCCGGCGCATGTCAAGAACCATGTGATATGATTTTTCACGACAAGACAAGGCAAGACAATTAGTATCAATCAATTACATTGTCTAGAACTGTCCCTTTCTTTCACCACCTACCCACCTACCCGGTTCTTTTGAATCACCCCTGAACAATCTACCTCATGGCGTGGCGAAGAAGGACCGAGCACACCCTACGCTACGAAAGAATGCTTCCAAGTGACCGCAGGGTTCGAAGAACTTCCGAAAAGTGTCGCAGGCGACCATGTCTGGCTTGTGGGAATACCCTGACATGAGCCGCCCCGAGCGCGGGCACCCGAGCACGAGGAAAGTCAAACTTGAAGTGACTTGTGCAGTCTTTCGCAAGAATCCCCACGACGGAAGGAATTTGTGGAAGATCATTACAGAGAGGTTTCCTGAAACAAATCAGAAGCACACATTGGCATTCCAGGAACTGATGCAAAAAACATCCTGCAGAAAGTGTTTGATACGTGTCTATGCTGGTATAATTAAAACTTACAATATGATGCAAGAATCCCTGATGAGCGAAAGTTCCAACATTTTGTGTAAGGCGGGTGCGCTACCCAAGGTGAATCAGAACCTGACAGGAACCCCTCATGGAACAGCGGTCGACCATTTGGTGCAGCGGTCGATAGACCAGGTGACCCGGTGCGAACGTGAAAGACGCTTTCCCGCGTCGCCGATGCCCACATCGTGCCGAAACAACGGCTGCCGAACCTTCACGGCGTTCACGGGATTCTGCAGCAACATGCAGCTACGACTTGGGTATATCGGGTATCGTTCATGTATCATGATTATCAAATTACACGAGCTGCTCGGATTAAAACCCCTAATGGCCTTGTGAAAAGTCTGAGATCTGTATGACACACTCCTTCAGACTTCACAAGCAGAATGCCACGGGGTTCACCAAGAGTCTGTTCTTTCAATATATATGTTAATTTATAACATGGAAGCTGCCAGGCCTGCAAAAGTTTGGTAAGAGGAGGCCACCCCCTCTTGGGATTACTTTGTCTACAATGTGGCTGTGTGATTGAAATTTGCCCTAGCCTTCCAAGACAATGTTTAACATTTGACCGGTTTTGTAGATGCGTGCTGGAAGCCTAGGGAATGGCTAGGTCTATGTCCCTTTCTTCTCCGAACCTGGTCGGTCTACGCCCCAACGGCGAAAACCCCCGCGGCCGGTGTGAGGTCCAACGTGTTGATGAACGCGGAGTTTGTCAACGGCCGCTCCGCGGAGTTTTTCCTAAAACACCCAACGACTGAAGACTTGGGCCTTTTTGGGGTATACAGTTCACCTATAGAATCCTATAGATATGACTCTATGCAAGTACATAGTTTGTCAGGATGTTATACGTGTTATATAGCTATGAGCTGCAGATATTTGTGCACACATAGCAGGTACCACGAGAAATAGGTACCACTTGCAGCCTCTCCGTCGTCCAGTCATCGGTGGTCGGATCGGTCGGTCCTCCTCGGTGTCGGTCGGTGGCGGTGGTCCGGTTTGTCTCCGACGGTTGTGAGGCCAAAAAGTAAGCCATGCAGAATCATGCAGGATCTATAAGTCCTTTCTTTTTTAAATAGACGCCCTGGCAGAAGTGACACAAGCCTGAACAGGCGTTTGTTGAAGCGTTTGCTGTCACTGGTGTCCCCGTGCTTTTTGAACCACAGCGACTGCTCCGCCAGGCTGGTTGGAGGACCTCTTGGCTCAAGGAGAATTGGCAGATCGCTGAGCATCGTTACTTTTTTGTGGCGAGGTGCAGATCGCCCTGCTGAAGTGAAGTGAACCTGTTTGGCCTGTTTGGATGAGTGTTCTCAAGCTTTCAACTAAATCGCCCCACGAAAGAAGCAAGCAACAGGTTTGTAGAGGGAGGCTAATTTCTTCAAACAATCAAATCAGACAAAGATATATAAAATAGTACAATAGCATAGTATAGTTCATCCACAATCCACTTTCATTCTCATATCCTCATGTTCTTAGCAACTCCATCGATCCTAGAACTCCAATCCATCGAGGAGGGCTGCAGTGACTGACAGTGACTGACTGACTCGACCACATGGTCGGATGTCTGGAACATGCCAAAAACGTTTGCCGGATGGAAGGGGAACAGGCAACCTTGCCTCTGGTATAGCCTATCCCAACTTGAGGCGCCATCTGGTCTAACACCTAAGGACACCAGCAATGCGAAAGGACATGGTGGACTCCTGCATGTAGAAATTGTAGCTGCAGGGACTCCCAGTCATGGTTCTTGTTGCGAAGAACAAAATGCCAACACCACGTGATGGACTGAAGTTCTGTTGGTTCACTTGAACATATATATATATAATATATATATAGTTATATATATATATATTATATTCAAATAAACACTGTTTTTGCTTTCTATTTGCTGGATTGCATTGGCAACACGTCTCAACAGTGTCATTGAATCTTCTTTCACGAGACCGACTTTTTCCATGCGCCAGACTATGTTTTTTCACTCATGTTTCGACTCCGACTCGGATAGAAATGAGCTGCAAGACTCCATGTTTTCACCGTTTTAACACCTTTTTTAAAAGATTCTTTACATGGCCGGCCACTGCTCATCCGGTTCGCTCAGACTTATGGCTGCGTGAGAATACACACATTGTATGGAGAGATCTATAGCTGGTTCATCCGTTCTGCGTCTCCAATAGACTACCTGTAGCCCACCTGCTGGACCTCCAAAAAGAAACACCCACAACGGATGATCTTGGTATGTATTTGCTGGTGTCCGATCTCCATGAATTTCTGTACAGTTTCGAAGGACCCAAACGTGCCGATTTTGCGAACCTCGACCTTGATTCGGCAGGTTCGACTCGATTTTGAGGAGACGGAACTGGTAGGATCTGATAGCACGGAACTCGATCTTCCAATCGGACGATCTTCGGAAATCCCAGCATGTTGATTGGGACAATATTCTAACACATGTTGTGATGCCCCATGATATCATCCATTTACAGAAGGACCGCGGACTAAACCAGTAGGATCCAGTGGTCCTGCCTTTCGATGATATTCTATTCTGTTTAAGAAGGGAGCGCACCAATCCCAACAGAGTCGCAAATTCAACTCAGAGTTTCTTTCGGCATCTCTTGCATTGCTTATAGTTCAGCGATGGGTTAATGAGTTTGATGATGTGGCAAGCATGTAGTCAGTCGCCCACTCCTGTGAAACGTTTTGGGGTCAATTCGAATCCCTTTTACAACTTGAAATTGCCAGCTTGTCCTTGAAATGGGGATGGGTCATGGCACTAAATGAGCCGGACCCGTCCACCATTGGAACGCAACGGGTCCGGGGGTGCGGCACGGTGCCGGGTCGGATAACTGGTGCCATGACCCACAGACATTAATGGTCGTGGCCAAGAAAACCACTGGATGACACTCCCTAAGGATCCACATACCTTCTCAGAAGGTACTTGGACCAGTACCCTCCAAACCTACATAACAGTGTCTCCAAGCACCTTCTGAGAAGGTACTTGGTTCCCTAGGAAAAAGTCAGGTTCCTAGGTATGACGCTGTCAGGTTCCTCTATACACTTTGATCTTTCCAGAACTGCCTCCAGAACTGGTCGTGCGTTGTTGAGCTCGCGGCTTTGCCGACGCGACGCTGGCGACAAAGCGACGAAAACGGGGGGCATCAAGTGTCTATGGGCGGTGGAACTGGGTAGAACTGGGTGTACTTATCCTCCCAAACTCATGGTGCTGGTTGGAGATGGGCAATCTTGAGTGGACTTTTGGGCACCTCACCGTACATTCATTGATGTCCAGACATGGTGTTGCCTGCTTTTGGCTCCGCAGACCAGAAAGCTACGCCGCTACGCCCATTTTTCGTTCAAGGGCAAGTCACCCTGAGAATCCCAGGGGGTTGGTTCGAGGTCCAGTCAGGTCCGTCCGCAGGGTCCAAGGGCTTCTTGGGCTCTCTAGTAGATGGGCTCAACAGCTCACACACTCCATCGGTCGTGTCGACAAGCTCCCGAATGGTCCTCCAACCACTTCTTCTGCAGCGCTCTGCACCTGAGAAGAGTCGCAGCATTATCTAGGTGCAGAAATTAGGATATATATTGAAAAAAGAAAAGGATTCGTCGCGTTATCTATATATGGCCTACTAGCAATGGCCTCCACCCTACTAGCAATGGCCTCCACCCTAGTAGTGGTGGCCTCCAACCTAAGAGCGTTGGCCTCCAACCTAAGAGCGATGGCCTCCAACCTACTAGCAATGCATGTGCGGAAGTTTGAAAAGAACAATCTGTTCCAACCTATAGACCTAGACATTCTTTTAACATCTTTTAAAACATATCGGCTATCCGACACATATATCTTATATACCAGACCATCCTGTTTGGGTGTCCTGGCCGGACTACCCCTACACTTGGGGATCTCCAGACAGGATGGTCCAGGCAGGTTGTTCAACTTGGGCTGATTGAGAACCAGCACGACGTCGCGCCAAACCGGCTCGGAGCATCGCGCCAAGAGCCGACCGCGCACTCGCGCAAAACGCCACCGGGGCCTCAAAGCGTCACATGTTGCTCGATACATCTCGAAGAGTATCTCGAAGCCATCACAAGATGATGCCATATACTACCAGGACCCACAGTCGGGGTGGTTAATGGACACCCCTTAACCTCTAAGGGGCTATCAATAGAAGCCCCTTGGAGGGTCCTGGTATAACTTTGTGTATCTTTGTGTGTTTTTCTTATTGGCGTGATTTTGGGAGTCACTACAGTCCCACAAACCGGTAGTACCGGGGGTCAGCGCCTGTGCGGTCACTTACCGTGGGTCCAGACAGCGGGCTTCGGTGAATCTGAGGATATCCGTCACAGGCATAAGGCGCAAGAGATCAGAAGCCAAAAGGGCTTCGGTTTGTGCTAAAAATGCAGTGAATCGATGTGGATTCTGAGAAACCCGCAGGTAGCGCCCGATAGTAGCGCCACCTTTCAAGAGTTCTGCCAAGAAAACATGTCTTCCAAACTGGATTGTTTGTTAGGTAGCGGCAGGATTTCCACAGGATTCAACCTCAGTCCTTGCTCTATTTTTGAGGCACCAACTTTACGGCTCTACGCCAAAACCACGGCGGCGTTCATGAGCGCTCATTCTACACCCGTTCACGTGAGCGGTGTCTTTCAGCGTAGCTTCCCACGTCTTCCTTCAGTGCCAATGGTGTCATGGGCCAAATGCGCGAGGCACTGGGAAGGGACATGACGCGAAGTGCCATGGGGAAGTAGAGTTCTTTGCTCGTGCTTCCTCCACGGTGACCAGCGAACGCGGCCCGAAGTCAGCGGGTCACGCGGTTTGGGTCACACGGTTCGGGCCAAATGGACACGTCAGAGACGACCGGGACTGGAATTGATAGCGGTCAGGCCAGGGGTGGTTGACCTATATATATATATATACACTACCAAAATAGTTATATACCAAAATATATTGGGTCTGTCCATGTCTGTCCTATTGTATACAGTACCTGTAACAGTCAGTAAGCACTTATGACTTTTAGAATAGTTTAGAGAAAATGGCCATGTACTAACCATCATCATTCACTGTTGGTCATGGGATATACCCGAAACTTTCAGGTCTGGTCGTGTCTGGGATCGATGGCAGAGGAGACCCCGGTAGACCAACACAGGGTTCTTCTTTCAACTCGAGTCCTGGAGTTGTGCCAAAAGGACAGAAGCCGATCGATCTGGGCCGGGGGGGAGTTCTTCTCCAAAAACGCCCATCACGGCGTGAACCTGACCTGGCAGATGACTAAGAGAAAGCGTTTTCACCGTTCGGGACGGTGACTCTGGGCGTCGGGGCCACGTGTGGCCGCGCATGTGAGCAGCGATCCGGTCAACTTCTCAGGGTTTGACCCAAGAGCTCCAGGTGACAGCCATACTATTTCCCTCACAAGAGTTGAAGAGCTCAGTCTTGCCAAGTGCTGAACATGGAGTGCTCAGTCTTGCTGGGAACATTTGTATGATTCCACTTCTGAATTTCAGATTGCACCATGAACATGTAGCATGCTTCGCATGCTTCAAGAGGGTTTTGCCTTCATGGCAGGTGCTACCCGGACAACCCCTGGTGCGTTCGCATCATCTCCGCCGCGACCTCGACATTTGAATTGGGCAGGAGTGGGGAGTGAAGAGTGACTGCCCCCCGAACTTAACCCTGGCGCTCCATATAGATCCATAGGTTAAAAAAAGCCTGGCCAGGGTTCCCAGCTTTACATAATGTCCCGGCCGGCCATGTTGCAGAGTGACCCTTGACGGGGAAGCAAGTGCCTTCAGCGTCGACACATCACGCATCATCCAAACACATCCAAAAAAGCAACGCATGCGCCAATTGTGTACCGGGGTACCAAGATAATGGACACACACACACGTTCATCGGGGGTTCTTATTCATAACTTTAATTAACATTTGTACTAACAGCATATAATCTCAATGACTTGTTGCAGGTGGTTTGAAGCCACCCACCGCACTGGCTGTCTTTTCGCTTGCTTCGCTGTGGCAAGCGGACCACGGAGGTCTGCATTTGCATCATGGGCTGCATTGGGTCTGCTCCTGAGGATCTGAACATCATGGAAGTGGAAAGCCACCTGTTTGTAAAGGTTATCCAAGCGATCCAAGGGGCCATATCCTCCACTTCCACGGAAAGTATATATATATATTAAAATTAGTGTGGCGCGATTTGCAGGAAAGGGCCATGCCCTGAGAGTCCAACAGACATGTTTTTCAAAGAACCATTGTCAACCATTCTATTGATGGTCTTTGAAGCCTAGGGTGGCAGTGCTTTTTTTTCATGGAGTCAGACTGGTTTTGACATGGCGACATGGCGAGCTACGACTACGACATGCTGAGGGTGGCCAACAATTCTCGCATTGCAACCATGGAGAGCTACGACATCGTCACTCAAATGTGAAGCCCTCAGAAAGAGTCATCAATGAGGGCAGTGTGGGCAGATGAAAGTAGCAAACAAATTACACAAAACTCTAAGAGTAGGTTTACATTTCATCACTTGTTCCTGGACCCTCAAAGTCCTATACTCTAACCATTTGTAACCCCAAAGAGACAGGTACTTGTACTGATTTTCTGAGTTACTTTGAGACTCCAGGTCTATTCTTTCTCTTTATTAGTGCCCAAGACCAGAGAGCCCAAGACATGCGACCGGATTGCGCCCAGTACAGCAATGTGCGAAGACGCCACTTTGAGGATCCACTTGGAGTCTGCGCAGTCGAAGAAGTCAAGCCTCCTGCCTGCGGTGGGTTATTCGGTCAGGCGCGAGCCAACCGGCGCGTCGACTCGGTTGAGATCGTTGTTTGAGATCGTTGATTGTCTTCACTGTTACAGCTTGACATCGGTTTTGCTTGGTACTGTGCGGAGGGGCGGACTTTAAGCGTTTTTGCTTGCTACTCAATATTTGACGTTTTATGACGTGTTCTTTTCTATCGTTTTGTGTTGTGCGAGATTCATGGGCAGTGGCCTTCGCCCTGCAGGTTGCTTATCATTAAAGTAATCCTGTCCACCTATTTGAAAACACGCGCCCCCCCCCTATGAAAACCTCGGTTGCATTGTTGTTAATAGGGGGTCCCTGAAATCGGGGCTATCCAAAATAGGGTCACCTGGGAAGAGCTTCAAAAAGAAAAAGTCACCCAGGAACATGTTCGATCAAATCCTTTATTACACTCGTATCAAAATTTCAAAAAGCCTCCAGATCGAAGGGTCTTCCTTTTCCCCTACAAAAACCTTTGTTAATTGGTTGTTTTTGGAACCTATAATGAAGAAACTACCCCAAAAATCGACCATGTTGGTAGTTTAGTAGCGGTTTGAAAGGGCATTAATTTAAAAACACATATAATCCGTATTTAGGGTTTCGGACGTATTCGGACGTGGTGTTTTTTTAATTGGGGACGCTTTTTTTAAAAAGGTACTCGGGATTACACCAGAAAGCCCAGAAGCGGACATACAAATCTCTTGCAACACTGCAACTTTCCTTCATGACATGCTCCAAGGAGCACAAGAACTTCCAAAAGAACCTTTTGGTTTGATTGGTCCAAACAAGCATTGAAGTTTGCGGTCATCACATCAAATGGTGAAGAACTCCTTCCTCAGTCCGAATTCATTGCCACGACAACCGACCGCAGATCGCCGGACGCGGATTCCTGATGATTCCGAGGATCGTTGGAGTGTAGTAGCTCTTCTGACTAGTAGCTTCTTGTTACTGGTAGCTATTTGCTCGTAGTAGTACATCATGCCGCTGTTACTATAGTAGCTTCTTGTTACTAGTATTGCCAGGAGCTATGCAGTTTTCCGGGTGGCGAAAAGTTGTCGGGCCACGCCGGACTGAGGAAAGCCGATAGGATTGGGTTGCTGAAAACAAGCGATGCTACAGGCGAATCAAATAGGAACGTTGCTGTAGTGTGACCCTAAAATGATTTGGGCAACATTTGGACCGACTTTGTGGCAGACTCCAAGTATGATCGCTGAAGAGGCGATCGCCCTGTTTTACCACTGGGTTTGGCTCATGAGTTTAGTCGAAATACGATGAGTTAGAGCTCCAGGCAGATGGCTATGGCAAGATCTTTTTCCTCCCCAGTAGCACAATTGGCAAAAGGGCGGAAGATTAGACGACTTTCTCCCATTGAAAAGAAAACACAACCAGAGCAAAGCAAACTGTATCAGTCGAGGTGGCATGGGAAACCAATTGTTTTCTTCCGAGAACTGTGTCGCCAAACTTGCTGCCGCGGTACGACTTTCGAGCACCATGCCTGGGCTCGCCTTGCCTTCTGCGGCGTTGCGGCCGCACAAGCTCTTGAGCCCACCAGGAAGCTTTGGCAGCACGGTCGAAAGGACTCGACATGCTTGGCGTGGCCAAGTCTGGCTATGGCTTGCCCCCAGACCAGCCCAAACCCGGAGATCTCAAGCCAGAAACCCTGATCTCACTGCCTCCATAGATGTCAAGTCTATGAAACCCAGTAATTATTCACTATGGATCCAAGCCAAGACCTTGAGAAGGTAGCTTGACCATCCCAAACCGAATTATTACCAAGCACCTTCTCAGAGGGTATGTCATGGATTGCAATGACTCTGGACAGTCACGCTCCCAAATCGCGACCTCTGCCTACTTTTCGCTCAGGAAAGAGTCCTCAAAGCTTGAGCCCCGCGGTGAGTCCAGCGAGGAATCTGCCGGGCACCTTGCTGCCCTTGACGGGCGTTGGCAGCCCCTGCTCCAATGAGTCTGGGCCCATGATCTCACCGCAGACCTTGAACCTCAAGGCCAGGTGGCCATAGGTGGCCTTGCGGGTTGGGGGGGGCATATGTGGATGGTTCTCTTTCTGGAGAAGCGGTGAGCTCTACCATGGTCAATACCTTATGCCGCTTGTACCATCCGGATTAGCTCAAAGGTTGTTCAGCTACTGTAACAGCGTGTCAAAATGATTGGACCTATAGAGGGTCCCCAGTGACCCTGGACTCCACGTCCTTTCCTACCTTTGAACATGGGGACCATGCGCCCAAAAAGCGCCTGCGTACGTATCAGTGCCCATGACATCCATGACCTGCATTGAAAAGCGGATTAGGATCGACGTCAGGTTGGCCCCGCAGGCTATAGCTTGGCCCCGGATGTCACCCATGGAAATTGACGTCGATGGATTAAGGTGATTCTTGATTCGTCCGGTTCCGGGGTGCATCCCCGGACGACCGTGCGAGAGTTCAGCTTCCCGAAACGACCTCCGTTCGCCCTGTCGCGACCCTGGGCGCTAAAAGAAATCAGACAAAAGCATGCAAAGAGAGGTTGTATCTCCTTCCAAGTGACCGAACTTGATCACCTGGTTGGTTCTGTCAGTTTGCCTTGCAAGTGAGGTCGGCTCAGGGACTCCCAGAGTCTGGGCCACGCGTCACCAACTGAAGATGATTTCTTCATCCCTTCCATCGGGGTGCCGCCCACCGTTCACCATGAGGCCTTGATTCCGGACCATGTGGATGAGGACATCTTTGATCGCTATGACTTCGAGGACGAGAAGTTGGGCGCTGGCGGTTATGGCAGCGTCTATTTGGCCAAGGAGATCGGGAGAGAGGGGAGGGCCGCGCTCGTCCGCGGCTCCTCTTCGGCGCCAAAGCAGAGGAATTCGATTGGTGTTTCATGGCTTTCCACTGGTTGTCACTTGGAGAACGAGATGGATCGATCTGAAATTCCTGCAAAACCTTTTGACCAATGCGACGCCGACGCCTGTCCATCCTGAAAAACCATGAAGATGGACCAGAAACATACCACTGTGATGATGGCCCTTGATTTAAAATGCTTTAAGTATATATATAGCCAAAAACCTCCCAAAACCCTTCCGTACCCAGGCCTTCCGCGGGCCCCCCCCGACGACCTGGGTTTTGAACACGCTCTTCACACGAGCAGTTGAGCAGCTGGTTGGCTTCTTTTTGTTTCTTTGCACTAGACCGGCTCGCCAGAAAGCAACAAATATCAGAAGGGCATGGCCCTAGGGCACATCCCTCAGAAGGTGGTTGGGGTGGGTGCCAGGGGGGTCTAACTGATGTGGGCCAGGAGCCCGGATACATCCATGGTGGGTCCAGCTGTGAGTCCGGAGGATCGTTTCCTGGATGGGCGGATCGTGGCGGTGAAGAAGGCATTGATGATGGATGGAGACATGCGAGAGAACTTCCAACAGGAGGTGCAAATCATGAAAGAGCCTCGGTGCATGCGAAAGTATCATCTTTTTCCGTTTATTTTAGGATGTGCAGCTCTTTTCCATCCAAATTTTGGAGCAGAACTGGATCTTCCCAACTCACCCATCCAGGAACTAGATCATCCCAACATTTGCAGAGTCTATGAAAGCTGCTGGGCAAAGCACCAAGCTGCCAGAAACCCGGTTTGTCCACCGGTGACCTGCTGACGGGTCGTGGAGGGAGTGACCGGCTGACCGGACCCGGTACGACTTGGACCCTGGCACCGAATGACCATCACCAGTGGAGACAGTCCGTCCCACCAGTACCTGAGGTTCGGTACGACGACCCATCCCTAGGGATGGGACGAACGAGAGTCCCTTGGTCCCTAGAGAAAGCAACACCACGGCTGAAGGGAACGGGATTGGGATAGTTTTTCCCCGCCGGGCTGCTCCTACAAGCCACTATGGGCCACTTGGGAAAAAGAGCTCCAAATGTATCAAGCACCAGCACCCTCCAACAGGTCTCTGAAACAGTGGCTGAAATGGAGACTTCAAAATGGGAGGTGGTGACCTGGCAGATATCGGGTGCTGGCAGGCAGATGATTTTCTTCTTGGCACTTCTTGTTCTTGAGTCATGAAGGGTGTTTGTGTCTTACGCACCGGCTGCAGGGATGTATATCGGGTAAAGCAATCAAGCCACAACTTCCAGCGAGCGGTGTGAATATCAGGCTATGACCACGGACGCCACGTCTACCTGGTCATGGAGTACTGTGCTGGAGGTTGGAATTGACCGAACCCGACATAGCAGGGTCTCTGATGTTTTTAAAATCATTCCCAGATCGCAGAGCCCCTCCAAATAATATTATATGAGGGTCCATGAGCGTCTGGGTAAATTATCAATCTTGCTTCAGAACATTTTGCCTTTGCCCTTTGAGCCCGCATAATATGGAGATCTTTAAAATGACATCGCTCATCTTTTGTTGTGGCCGCTCATCCGAACCTTGATGACGCAACGAACAGCGGCGGATCCTTTTGCGGATCCTTAAGGAACAGTCCTCTTCCGTCCCGGTGTGAGACGAAAACTCTACCTGGACCCTCCAAGAGGTGTTTCCTGGTGACAACAGGAGCCCAGAAGCACCTGTGAGGGTTCAATCACCACCTGTTAGAGGGTGCTGGTATTGAGTGGTGTGATACCGAAAATCCGTGTGGTATTCAGTTCCACCAGTGTCCACCATTTTGTTCACCTGGAACATCCGTTCTGGGTCACCAATAGACTACTCTGCATTAGAGATCGACCTCTAGCCAGGACACGAAGCAACAAATTCATGATCCGCGCAGGTGATTTGTTCGACTACATCTTGAAGCATCAGGGCATCCCAGAGGCCACCTGTGCCAAGCTCTTGCGGCAGATCGCCTCTGCCCTGAAGCACGCACATGACAAGGGCATTGCGCACCGCGATTTGAAACCGGAGACCTGGACACGAAACCTCGTCGCCAACGTGTCGGGACGGAGTGTCGTGGTGGTCCTGCATCCAGGCAGAAGTATTGAGTATATATTCTTAAATATGTCATAATAATATCTACCAGGGCCCGACTCTACAG